ACAGACGTTCCTCTCGTTGATAGCAGAGGAGCAGATCCAGCAAGCTTGATGGGGCGACGCGGAATAAAATGTTTTTCAGGAGTCACGGCATAGAGGCGGCGCAACTATAACGACATGTGAATAATCCCGCCCACTCTAAAGCAGTACTGAACTGCAGTGGAAACGCGAACCGAGTCGAGCCGTGCCGTGTCGTACCACACAGTGGAAAAGCGCCAAAACACGATCATCAGACGTAAAACAGCATCAAAACTGTGTAAAGTTGATGCAATGTCGACCAATGAAGAGGTAATAATGACTGTCAAGCTTTGGGGTGTTGATTGATTCTATCTACATTTTGATTATCGTTCTGAATCCAATTCATAGTCTTTTTTTCAGCTTTTTGTTCAAAATGTTGTTTATTTCTTTTTTTTTTATTTATGAAACTTATCCACATTCAAGTGTTTAAAAAACAGAATGCATGAAGCTAGAATAAAATGTTTTTGTTTACAAGCAGATACCCTGTTCTTTTGGTGTTTTGTATGTTCAGATATTCATATAACAAAATATATACAAATTAGTACCTAAATAGGGACATAGTAGTATACTTAAAGTATGATGTAAAGTTCACTTAAAGAAAACTTATGAGTATACTTGCAGTATAAATCTACCAAACTAGTAGTTTACTGAGACTATACTTCAAAGCGTACTAAAAATGCTACTACAAGTATTTAATGAGAAAACTATCAGTATAAGTTAATTTTTAGTATAGTTGCAGTACAAGCTAAAATATTGTTGTAAACTAGTTGTGTACTTAAAGTTTACTACTGTTATACTTAAAAGTATACTTTTATATACTAGAAAGTGGGCCAATTTAGTCCCAAGGAGTATTGAAATAGTACACTTACAAGTATACTACTAGTACACTGATATTTGTATACTTGCTACATAAAGTATACTTAAAAATATACTTGAACTTTTCTTAAGTATACTTAAAAAAATAAACTTGAAGTATACTACTTTTTGGTAAGGGTAGGGCCCCCTTTTTTCTCTAAGATTATTTGATTTTAGTTTTAGTTTTTGATTTTGGCCAGCGGATTTGAAAACATGAATGTTTCTTTCCTTTAATGTGGTGCGCTGTCTCCCTTTCTACGTAACATCCAGTAAGTCAAATCATGTAACTTGACTGTCAGATACAGTCTCCTGCTGTTCTTGCTTGATACAAAAAAAAAAAAAAAATTATTCACACTGTTTCCCAAGCGCTTTCCGTGTGCGCGATACGAGACGGAGTGAAACACGTACACATCTACACTGTAAAAAATAAGTGTAATTTTAACTGTAAAATTTTGTAAAAACGCTCAGGAAAAAAACTGTTAATAGGTTAACAGTAAGTTCCCGTACCATATACAGGGAAAAACTGTAAAATATCTAACCAGACATTTCATGTAATTTTACAGTAAAATGCTGTTAATTTTACAGTTTTTAGAAGTAAAAATAACAAATCAATGTATAATTTACAGTCAAAAACTGTAAACTGATATTCCCAGAATTCCCTGCATGACACTACACATTTGAAAGTATTTTGTTTAAATAATCATGGTTTTTTTTAAGTTTTTGTTATTAGTTATGTATATTTGGGCTTTATGTTACATCTTCTGTCGTTTAATGAAAGTTTAATGCATTATTTAAGTATCATGTGTGTTACCATGATGGTGTTTTGTGTTTGCATGAATGACTCTGTGCACCTTCTATATATTAGTATATACTTCTGCTTGTGGCGAAGCTACTTGTGATGAGCTTTGATTCTTCATGTGGCTTTCTCTTTTACCACCTGCATTATTATGGTGGTTGTCAGTATGTTAAAGGTACAAAACAGATTTTAATAGCAGTGTGCATTGTTGAATTTACTGGTTTACATTCAAATTTTCTTGTTTGTAAATTACAGTTTTATACTGTAAAATTACAGTTTTTGGCCGTAAATGTTTTACAGTTTTTCTGTATTTTTTACAAAATTATTCTGGCAACCACAGCTGCCAAAATTATTTTGTAAAAACTACAGAATTTTTTTTACAGTGAAGTTTTTTGACATTCGAGTCACATCTAATCTGTAAGATTGGGTCACAGAAACGTCTGCGTGCTTCATTTCTCCTGAATTTCTGTCTCCACAAATTCTGTTAAAGGACACTAAGAGCAAAGCCAAATTTAGACCAATTATATCTTGATCCAAGAATGGAATGCGTTAGGCGACTAACAAAATTAGATTTTACATTCCACTCCCAAGTTTCTTTTTCATAATGCAAAACTGCTTTTAGGGGGCCGACCCATTTCTTTCCGCGACTGCACTAAGAGAGGCTTATTTGTTAATTTCGAGACTTGAAAGACCAATTTATCTTCTAGGATCATCATGTTTCTTTCAGAGCATCTCACAAGTTCATGCATGCTCTCAAAGCTTATGCGCCTTGAGTTTGACTCTGTCATCCCTGCATGAAGTGTTTGGAGCCCATGGACTCCAAATGATTTCATAAAATTCTGGAATGTTCAACCTTTTTTAATTGGTGGATTTTGCAGTGAGGATCTGGAACTTTTGCAATCTGGTATAATTGGAAGGTTGTTATTGCTGTAGCTTCAATAAAACAGAATCATCAAATTATTCTTTATCATTTTGTCACAGAATTTATTCCACAGAATTCTTTTTTAAGATAAAAATATGTTTTATTTAATAAATTGTATTTCATGTTTTTGAAAGAAGTCTCTAATGCTCACTAAGGCTACATTTATTTGATCAAAATACAGTAAAACAGCAATTTTGTGAAATTTTACTAAAATTTAAGTTTTTTTTTTATTATTTGAATATATTTTAAAATTCATTCAGTGTCATTACTCCTTCCTTCTAATTCCTTCTAATGTGTTGATTTGGCACTCAAGAAACATTTTTTTTTATTATTATCAATATTGAAAACAGTATTTTTGTGGAAGCAAAAAGTTATTTTTAAAAAAAAGTTTTTTACAGGATTATTTGTTTAATAGAAAGTTGAAAACAACAGCATTTATTTGAAATTGAAATATTTTGTAACAGTATAAATGTCTTTACTGTCTTTACTGTCTTT